CTGTCCTCTAATAAGCTGACAGAGTCCGTAGGCCATGAGTGCAGCGCAGTATTTCGGGAGCGCTCGAAACCGAATTAGACGGGATTGACGATTTCTGAAATAGCCCGGTGCGTCTATTATTGTGGGCTAGCGGCCGGCGGTCACTGTCCCATTTTGCAGAGATGCGCCCAATGGACCATCAATCTTCCTCCGACACTGCTAAAAAATAAATCTGTCCATCTATCTATCTACCGATCCTGTCCCGTTAGCTCGTTTCTCTTCCTTCACACTCTCCAAACCCCCTGCCACCCCACCACCCCCTACTCCAAACAAGTTTATTTCTGGGAAAATTGATTCTGTGGCCGTTTGCCCTAAAATTAGATCTCAGGCTTGCAGGCGCCGGCCCTCCGCGATTCTATTTTGTCTGTCCATGTCTGACTGCCACCCCCTCCCCTCCTCTCCCCTTTCCCCCTGTCAACCCCTCACACAACACACACACTCACCCCCCCCCACACACACACAGACACACACAGTTTGTCTGCTGTGATTGTGGCCCTGCGTTATCACCCTCGTATTGATCGGTGTGAGGTGTGACAACCACATCCCGACGCGCTACTTCCGACAAATATCTCTGCGCGATGCAAGAACTTTTTCTCATCTGTTATTCATTTTTCAGCGATTAATGTGTCTTTTTAAATTACCAGAGAAAAGCTTTTATCGTAATTGCTACTATTGAACCATTTTCGTAGCCTTTCTAGGGTCCTGTGTAGCCGGTGGGCCGTTGCGTAGTTCTGTTGTAATGGTTTCCTCTGATCTGCGCTAATTAATGTTGAGCGGGGCACTGTGCTCCTCGGGACCCGGCGTTATTGCTTTGCTCCTTGCCCACCCCAAAAAGCCGTGTTTTACATTTCACCAGCAAACTGTCTTTGAGCAAGGGCTTTCGTCTGTTGGCAGCCGCTGAACGAGGGTCAGCCCGACCCGCATGCGTACTGCGTGGTGTACTCGCAGTCCGACTTGGCGAGCTTCAGGAGGGCGGAGGATGAGCTGCAGAGGCTGTGGACCAGCGGCTGCGTCGGCTCCAAGGCTGTCATCCTCGTGGCCAACAAGACGGACCTTGTGCGGAGCCGTACCGTCACTGCCGAAGGTGAGTCCCGGAGGGGGTTTTGGTTGGTAGGGCAGCTGACGGGGCCGCAACTTCACTGTTTTTTTAAAGGTATTGATCATTGCCATTATTGGCAATGAAAACGCCCTCATTGCCACTGGGTTGGCAATGAAGCGCCTTTTTGGCAATGAACAGCGTAATGGCAATAAGACAAAAATAAGACCTTTCCAGCGGCAATGAACCGATCATTGCCAACCCAACGGCAGTTTTCATTGCCAGCCCAATGGCAATGTTCTGAAAGTAACTTAAAATTATTTCGTTTTTTCATTGTTTGCCCCATTTTGGCATTACATTATTGCCGACCTTTTGGTATTGAACGATCATAGCCGACTGTTTAGCAGTGAACCGCCACTGCCGACATATTGGCAGTGAACCTTCACTGCCGACATTTCGGCAATGAACCATCAATGCCGGCACTTTGGCAATGAACGTTCAACGCCACAATATGGCAATGACTGAATAGCCAATAACTTAGAAAAAGTTCATAAACTGACATCCACTCATTGCCAAAATTGGCAATGAATATTGCCTTTGGACTGGCAATGAACCATCATTGCCGCTGGAAAGGTCTTACTTTTGTCTTATTGCCATTGCATGGTCATTGCCACAAAAGGTAGTACTTTCATTGCCATTGGAGGGACAGTGTTATTCAATCCTGTGTACATCAATTATTTCAACCCCTCATTACGGAATCCAGACGCAATTCCACAACTCCGTAATAGCTTGTGTGCGAAAAGTGGGAGTTGTGACCCCATCGGTCGAGAAGGGGAATTGGTTGACCCCCTTGTCCTCACGAGTGTCTTGTTGGTGTCGGCAGAGGGGAAGGCGGCGGCGACCTCCTACGACTGCAAATTTATCGAGACATCGGTGGCGATCAACCACAATGTGGACGAGCTCCTCGTCGGCATCCTTACGCAGATCCGTCTAAAGCTCCAGGACCCAGAGCGCACGCGCAGCATCTTCCGCAAACGCAGCGCGTCGCGATCGAAAAGCCGGTCCCGGTCACCATTAATTGTGTCTTGCGTCGGGGGATTGACGTCGACGTGCGTCGGCACAGAGGACAAGAACGGCAATACTGGGGTGGGAGAGCCGCCCGGCTCGCCGGGTCCCCGGTGTCGGCGGAACCGCATGTCGGCCAGTCTTAAGGTACGGGGCTTGCTAGACAAGGTGTGGGCCCGGGACTCCAAGTCCAAGTCGTGCGAGAACCTCCACGTATTGTAATCAAGGCCCATTAGGCTGTGTCCCATCTCGGAAACGAATTTCTTGGGTCTTAAGAGCAGCACGCTTACCGAGGAGCCTGATGAAACGTGGGTGTGAAGGAAGGCTGAGGTGAGTCTAGGCAGGCGTACTCCGAGATAAGTTTCTGTCGTGTCGATTCTAATGCGGTAGGTGGGCTCTCGGACCGTGCCCAAGAAATCCGCATGCCCTTGGTCCTGTGAACTAGCTTTGATACGGCCACTGGCATTTTCAAGGAAATGTCATTTACCTTCACGTTTTTAAATGGTTCTGGCCAGTGACCGTGTCAAATCGTGGCGGCGTCTTGCAAAGTTCTTTAACGCACTTCGCAAAAGTGATCGTTCTTTACTGACCATTTGCCCAAGATTTTTCGCTCTTCGCTGGTTTAAAGCGTCTGTTTCTCTTGCGTTACATTACTATTATCGGTATTAGCAAGTGGTCTGTCGCTCTTTATACGTTCACGTTCCCAAGCTGTATTTGTTTTCGAAAATCCAAGGCTCTGAGATGGGATGCAGCCTAATAGAAACGGATTTATACTCTTGTTAATTTCCGTTCTTGACTTCGTACACTCTGCTATACAATTTAAGTATTCTTTTTAACTCTTTCTTTACGCGCAGCCTGATGGTATTGTGTTGGTGTGTATAATTATGAACTGATCAATTGTGTACAACGTTTGTTCCCTAGTTCCATGGTTTATTTATCGTTCAAGGGCAGAGCGAAAGGATGATTATGCTTTTTATACATTGGTTGTTTGCATGAAAACGCTATGACAAAAGTCTGCTTAGCGAAGAACATATCCATTATTATAATTTCGTTTTCGTTTTTCTTTTCGTATGTTTTCGTTTCATTAATTTATAATGAACGAAACGGGAAGCATCATGAGGACGTATATGCGCATCAGGCGCCTGTAGGCGTAGTTTTATGAATGACGTTTTATGAATGTGACGAATGAATGTATCATTGGCATTCCCTTAGATTCCGAGGTTAAAATTACCGTTAAAATAGTACAAATGGTTAAAAATCGCAATGAAACTAAATCGCGAACGGTTTTACTGAGTACTGGTAGCATAGTGGTTTTGTAAACGTTATGCGACTATTTCCCATTGCCCCTCCGTGACTGAGTAGGACGGTTATAGTAGACATAATGGCTGAGTCTGCCCCCCATCTTCCTCCCGTTTCACGGTTCCGGAATACACCCTTTTTATCAGCTGTTCGTTGTAAGACTATACTAACGCGAAAGTATTCCGACTACCACTATGGTACTCGTATTCGACTGATCTTGTGCTTTTGTAATGATTTAGTTAGTATTAAAGACAATGTTACAAGATATGATGCTCTAATAGTCCGCTCTGCCCTAGAACGACCCTGGTTGCGCGATATTTCCGTACATGTGTCATAAAACGCTCTGATTTAATTAGCCTTAATGTAATAACTTCAAAGGCATAACATTCGTAGCGTAACGTAGGTTATTTTTTTACATGAAATCATATTTTGGTGACTGTAGAGTGTAAAAGAAAGCTCAAAACTGAGCGTAGATATTACAATATTCGTACAACAATATCAAGTTGCAGTAGGTGTAGTACCCCCGTTGTGATTCTATATCATTTATCCTACATAGTAAGAAGAGAGTAATTTTTCCCGAAGGCTAATAATTGTTTGTCCTGTAACGTATATTTACAAAGAGTTATATTCTATGTAACTTTACTAAATTTTATTATGATGTGGTTAGTATGTAGTGCACAGTTAATTCATTATAGAAATGATCATATTTGATACTACGATATTTACAACACTAAATCAAAATGAGTATCTGTAGTGTTAGATATTGAAGAATGATTTTATTTCGTGGTCCAAGCATATGGAGTTGTCACTGGCTGTTACTTGTACGATTAGTATTGCTAGGCGAACAGAAGATGGTGGAGTAAGTCTCTGCCGGAGCACTGTTCTGCGCACTTTGAAATCATCATATTTTTGTGACTTTTTATCAAAATTGCACGAGTACTGAATTCCGAAATCATCTAAAGCACATTCAATCACATTTTCAAATCTAAATTTTCTCTATTTCATAAAGTACGGGAAAGAGCAAAATTCTCATCAAATCGTGACGAATTGTTTTTTTATGTCTCAGTTTGAGATAAAACGTGTGCATACATTTGAAACGAATACGCTAATTAATGTGATATATTTGTTTCTAGCTGTTTCGAGACAAGACCAAGTACAGTTGCCGAAAGGATGGTGTATATTGCACGTGTTCTCGAAGCAGCTTTTGTATACATTAAAACTTATGTGTACATATGTGCTAAGTAGCAGTGTAGGGTTGGGTATTTAAGTTACCTTTAAGTGTACATACTTTAATATTTCCTAATGTTTTAATTTCGTTAATATGTACAATATGCGCATTGTTGACTAACATTAGATGCAGCGTAGTGCCACTTGCATTTCTCTATGATAAAGGTGCCAATGACAGCACTTATCAAATGTGATGCTAAGTTTGTTACTATGAATGTGAATTGTTCTACAGTTGACTCTCGCAGAAGAAGTGCAGTGTCGTACATAATATATATCTGTGCTATTGATTACGACGACACCTGTACTTTGTTCTCTCCAGCAGCGAACCCTTAAACGTGTAGCCAATCTATGCAATTGCTCGTATTGAATTCACCTGTAACATCCTACTTGTTTTTGTTTCATCGTGTAAGTGGTGATTACCTCTTTTGCTCTGTTCCTGTAGTATTGTCAAACTTCGACCTTTTCGAATATTGTCAAATTCTTTTATAATGCACTGATACTTGCATTTCTAACTCTTAATTGAACCTGATTCGCACCGACCTCATATAGGAATGTATCAAATTATCTATGAGACCGCAAAGGTGTGCCAAAACACTGGAAAGTACAACTGTCCAAATTGTACTGTTTCCAGCACAAAATGACTTTTCTCCAATTTGAATTCTTGGAGGACATCCATCCCGATTTCCATCAAGAACCCGTTTAGTTCATTGATAAGATTAATACTTAAATAGTGAGATTTATCCGTCAAATATTGCACCTTCTTCGTTTGCTACTCTATTTTTTCTTCTCTCTCACACTCTACTGCAGTGAAGATTACGATTTCTCCAACTACTGTTCGTTTCTTTAGGGTTCATTTTTGTAAATGATAATACCGCATGTATTATCTGTGTTCGGACATACCGGGTAAATTACATAATAAAGCCATGCTTTATTATCGTTTTAGAAGTAAAGCTACGGCTGCAACTAGGCGGTCTCAGTTTTACAAAAACCACGTAGGTCTTTTGTTTGTGTTTAGCTTTCAAACCCGGTTGAATAGTGCGAAAGAGGATGAAATCATGACGAACTGTCTTTAAGTTTTATTATGTGGGCTGGATGTTGGGTCCATTAATAATAGCGTTCAATTATCACCCCAACATGAATACAGGGGAATGAACTGTTAATTTGTTTATCATTAGTATCCATTTTATAAGGACCAATTAAAAAGAATTACTTTCATTGCCCATTCAATTAGGTTATTGGGACGATAAGTTGAGCTGAGAATACTCTGAACGGGCACGAGTATGTTAACTCGTGTTCCAGCAAAGAAGTTTAAGAAAAATTGTAGCATGCCAGTTTTCGTTAACCTTTTTAATGCACTTTATTTACTTATTGCCAATTCCGATAAACGCACATTGCATTAATGAAATAAGTCATTTCAAAATCTCCCTCCGTCGAATAGAGTCGACGATCCGCTTCAGTTCTGTGCATTGCTGTCATATTTAACGAAACTGGGTGATGTCTGATAATGAAATCAAAGCCGTTTTTTAAATGTGCATTACTCTGTGTGAATATTTTATTGACTTTTGTGTGAGCCGCAAAAGCGGATCAATTTATTTAATATTATCTTGTACGTGTTAGATATTTTTTCGTATTTTGGGAGACTGTGTTTCCCTAAATTTGGGAATCGTGTTTTATAAATTCATCGTGTTTAGAATATTTCAATAAAACACCTGTCAATGTTATTTCTATGAAGTGATTGGCGATAAAACTCAACTCTTGAAAACATCACAAATTATTTATTACACCACATGAAACATTTGAAATGCATCAAACTACAATAGTTTCCTTAAGTTTTAAACAAATGCCACGCTATAAGAAAATGATTTTAACCTAAATCACGAAGAAGAATAACTAACTCATGTTTTCTTTCGAATCACTATGCAATTTCATTTATTTGAGCGTATAACAGATGTAAGGTGAAACTTGTTCGCCACATGCGCCACATGCAATTCGGTAAAGAAAACTACATATACAAAAAAAATCCCCAGTGCGCGTTTGCAAATAACCTAAAAATACTGTAATCACGTCCTTAACGTTACATCAGTCAGTCATTTGGTCCTACCGGGTGGGAGGTACTTTTGCTCCCAGAGCCTGGCCCGTCCCAGCGGGTTCATCACAGATAAGTCGGCACTACCGCCTGCTTCACAAAACGTGCAGCTTTTCACAGCTTTTGGCCTTTGAGTCCCTGGCGAGCACTTTGTCCAACAGGCTCTTCATTCTGAAGGACGCAGACGTCTTGGAGCCGCGGTATATTTTGCGGACGATGTGTCCCTCCGGGCGGGAGCTCGACCTCGACATGACGTCCGTGGGCTCCAGGTTGGCGCCGTCCTTGCCCAGAGACTTTCTCCGGGAGAAGCTCCTCTTCCGAAAGATGCTGCGGGACTTCTCCGGGTCCTTGAGCTTGAGCCGTATCTGGGTAAGTAGACCGACGAGCAGTTCGTCGACGTTATGGTTGATGGCGATGGACGTTTCGATGTACTTGCAGTCGTACTGCGTGGCGGCTGCCTTGGCCTCCTCCGTGCTGACGGCGCGGCCGCGTACTAAGTCTGTCTTGTTGGCGACCAGGATGACGGCCTTTGTGCCTACCGTCTCGGAGTGCCACAGCCGCTCGAGCGCGTCCAGAGCCAGCCGGAAGCTGCTCCGCTCAGTGGCGGCGAACACGACGCAGAACGCGTGCGGCTCCGACTCATAGTCGCTCTGCAACCGGAAACAGTCGGTGGTTTAGTACTGGTTTCGTGCCAGTTAAGCACTAGTCACTCCATTGCATCAAGTACTCACAGTGACATCGGCGTCGTGCTGCTCCAGGAAGGACAGCTCGGACTCCTCGCCGTCCAGCAGGACGTTGACGGTACGCTCGAGGGCGTCCTCGTCCGGGGAGGCGCAGTACGCGTGCAGGAAGTCGGACGTGCTGAACTGCTGCACGAGCGACGACTTGCCGACTCCGTGCGCGCCGAGGATGACGACCCGGTGCACGTGGCTGGGTGGCACCCGGCTGTCGGCCGGCGGGCTGCGGCTGCGCTCGGCAGGGCTGCGGGAGGGACATGAGGGACAAGTCCGTTAGGAGAGTGGGCGACGGCTGGAGGCTTTGTGAGGCCAGCATAGAAGTATCACGTGAGCACGCACCTCGGGCAGTCGTTGCTGTCGGCGCTGGAGCGCCTGCTCTTGACCGAGTCGCCCCGGTTGACGACGCCCTTCCCCGTGATGGCGAAGTTCCTCAGCAGGTAGTACTCGTTGGCCTCGTCCTCCTCGTCCGAGGAACTGTAGCCGCTGGGGAAGACGTAGTAGGGCGGTCCGCCGGGCCCCACGGTGCCGCGGCGGGCGCGGCTGCGGCTGGAGGAGCGCGGTCGCGCGCGCCGGGGCCGCGGGGGGGCGCCGCCCATGGAGCAGTCCGAGGGGGAGCGCACGGGCGTGCGCATGGAGCGCGCCCGCTGCACGGGCGCCGGCGCGTGGCACGGGCTGGGCGACACGCTGCTGCTCCTGGAACACATTAGCCGAGCGATCAGCCCCCGACAATCAAGTTATTCGCAGAGGGTGCAATTACTCGCGCAGACTGACGTCTTTAGCCCGCGCGCTGCCGGAGCGAGGGGACGGTGTACACGGCGCCGGGATGGGCGGGAGCTGCGGAATTCCAATTTCGGCCACTTTAATAACTTTCCCCTTTCGCAGAGACGTGTCTGGGTCACACGGTGTGGCCCTACCTTGCCCGGTTTAATTTAAAAGTCCAATCAGAGACGCCTCGGCGCGAGGCTGCGCCAGGCTCCGCGCCGCTCCGCGCCCGCTTCCCGCCCCTTATTGGCAGACCGCACTAATGCGGCGCCCACTATTGGCAGGCGACACGTTATTGGCAAAGCGCATTATCGGCAGATCAGCAGGCTGCACGGCCCAGGCAGCCTATTTAATTGAATGTCAATGGACGGTACGTTACACCATCGGCCCGCCCCGCCCCACCCCACCACGCCCCGCCCC